TACTGGATTTTTGACTTTCATGAGCTGTAAGCTCTAATCATCAAAATAAAAAAAATAAAAACTTTTGAAATGTTTTACTTTACATGTAATGAATCTAGAATATATGAAAGTTTCACTTTTTGAAATAAGTTACCAAAAAAATGAACTTTTTCACGATATTCAATTTTTTTTACATGCACCTGTATATAACTGCATATTTTTTTTAGCCAGACAAGACAAAATCAGTTGGTCTGGTTGCATAACCATAAATAATCAAATATACAAATCTTAAATATATCAGAGACACATAAATTGGTTATTTTTTTATCATATTGCTGCATGAAATTTATTTGTATCCAGACATAACACAATCAGCTGGTCTGGTTGCATAACCATAAATAATTAAATATACAAATACTTAAATATAACTGAGACACTATAATGGGTAATTTTTTATCATATTACTGCATGTTTTTTTTTTTGGTTGGTTGTTTTTATACGGACATCATAAAATCAGCTGGTCTGGTTGCAAATATATCAAATGCTTAAATATAACAGAAACATTGTAATTTATTATTTTAGTCATATTACTGCATGTGCATTAACTGGTCAGTCTATTAAATCACAATTACAATCATGATATAAACATTTTATTTATATTTCAGAAGCAAATATATATTGAAATAATTTCCCATACAATACATGCACTGTGTAGTACAACAGTAATATTTACCTTCTCGCGTGTTTCCATTATTCTGCAACTCTAACTAAATAGAGCAAGTAAAAAGCGCAAGTATTTCTCAATCTAACCTTTCTAAAATAACATAACCAATATCTTAATGTAAGAGTCTGCATTTCTGCACGAACGGCTTGTCCACTCACCTGTGAGAAGCTCTTCTACCTGCGCTAGCAGCACGGTCGCTTTTAATGTCATAAGAACTTTACATAGGACCATTGCCTGAGACAAGAGTAGACGATGTGTGAGGGCAGAGGCTGGGCGCTGATTGGCTGTGGCAAGAAAGAGATTGACGTATGCGGGCAGAGGCCTCGGACTGATTGGTTGAGGGAATGAACAGACGATAGTGAGACCTCGAGTTTCCGCAGCACCAGCCAATCAGAAACGCGCCTGTCTTTCATAATCTATCAACCTGCACTGACTGGGCTGCACCTCCAACACTCCCCGAGACGACTCGTTCTTCCCGAGTCACATTAAAGATTCGTTCAAAACGAACGAATCGTTCAAGAACGACCCAACACTACAAGCAACGAGGAGCTCTATTAATTCAGGGGGTTTCAGTCTTTTTGGTGCTACGGAGTACGGACCCCAAATATTACCATCGTCGTCCTAAAATTTAAAAGACAGCTATATAGTTTCTTATATAAAAAACTGAAATAGTGTAAAAAGTATATTATAAATGTCTGAAATATTATTTGGATAATAATAAGTGTCTATTAAGTTAAATTATTACGTTTTTTCCTACTCATCATAGTTCTGTACAGTTATAGTACTGTATTTATTGTTGTATTTATTTTTTCATTTGTTTTAATAATTTATTTTATTATGTATTTACTTGTTTGTATCTATATTTTTTCAAATGTGAAAAATTAAAATAAGTGTCAACAATTATTTGGAAAAATGTAGCTTCTCTTAAGTAGTAGTGTACTTTTACAGTACTGTATTTTATTTATATTGCATATATATTTTAATCTCCTTTTATTTATAATTTATCCACCCATTTATTTATTTGTTTGTTTTAATCTAATTTATTTATATCTTATGCTTGTTGATTTAGTTTACTTATTTTTTTTTCTATTTTTTGTTTGTATCTATTTGCATTCATGGCATTATTTTTGTTCATTTATTTTAACCTTAATCTTTTAAATGTATTTGAAACATTTTTTTCTCAAAGTGGAGTGTTAATAGTGGTGCATTCAAACAAGATCTTCTCTCGCTCTCATTTCCTCTGCATTATTTAGTACCAAATACAGTACATGCATAATTTATCAAGATATATTTTAAGTAAAAAAGTTCACAGGTATTTCACATATTACTCTCACAATATTATATTGTATTGTGCTTCGATCACAGACCCTCTCCCACATACACACACAAAATCTTAACATTAGGCATGGCTCGGTGACAGTACTTAAAGAGAGTTAAATACTAAACAGCAAGAGCAGAATAGAGAAAGCCATTAAAGTTACAGAAAACAAAGACAGAAAAAAGAGAGTGAAGAAGAAGAGAACCAAAAGAGAGTGAAAGAGAGAAAAGAAAGAAAGATTTCTATAAGAAGTAGTACCTTTATACCTCTTCAGTGTTCAGTACCGCTAGTACAGAGAGCACGTCACGTTGTTTAGTGAGTACAGCAGTAGTTTAAAGATGGCACACAAACATCAGTATTTAGAACCATGCAAAGCGGTTTAATACCCAAGCAACCAGTATCAGTCCACAGCATCGTGCATGCCGAAGCATTCATGTTAACGTTTCAAATGTCAAAGATCGCAATTCTCCAACGATTGGACCACAAGAAAAGAGCCAGAGGATATTAAAAGAAAAAGAAACAACAACAGACAGTTCAAACTTTAAGACTTCAAATGTTGTTTGGCAAACAAATTGCAAAATGAAAAAAGTTTGTTTGTCTTCAATAGAGACCCTTCTCGCATATAAGCAAGCAAAGGTTCAGCTCTAACCATAAAACGAAATTCACATCATCATCATCATCATCATCATCATCATCCAATGGAGTCCAGTGACTTCATAAACAACCTTCCAAGAGGCAACAAAGTGCTGGTCCTAAACTAGACACATTTTCCCTCAAGCTTTATTCGAATAAGCAAAAACCATCAAGAGGCTCCTTCAGATCAAACGATCAAGGAGCAAAAATTGCTGGCCATCCCCTCGGCTCAAACGCAGGAACGCTTTGTACACGTCGCAGATGCGCTGGCCAAATATTTGCACCAGTCTTTACTCAGAGTGTTTCGATTCTGCTTCGTCAGTGCAATAAGCATCATCATTGACTACTCTCAAACAAGAGAAACAGAAAGAAAAGAGAGATACAGAGTGTGTAAGTGTATATACTAGAGACAAAAAGAGGTAGTGTGTGAATGCTTGTAGTTACGTATCTGAATGAGTGTGTGGATGTGTGTGAGAGAGAGAGATACAGACAGAGAGAGAGAGAGAGCAGTATTCTCCAGGCCATGTCCATGGTGAAGCAGTTCCAGGATGAAGCCTCAGCCGTGGTAAGAGCTTCAGTGTGAGCGAATCCTCTGCTGTACGTCAGCTTCAGCTCTAGTGTTCAACAACTCCACAGCTGCTCAGAGAGGCTTATCAATGACAGTCACACCTGCAAAATGGCTGATGTATGAGTCTATCATGCAAAATGATTGAACATTTGTGTCTTCTGAACAACAGGTCCTATGTGGTACAAATTCCACTACACTACACAACCACCAGATGGAGCTCGTTCCCACAGTATGCTCTCTTTTTGGATTTTTCTGTTAATATTTGACCCATTACATAAAATAATTTTAATTAGGCACTCTATGATTCTGCTCTTAGAAGGTGAGTGTTACCTTATTCATAACTGACGAACTGATGATATTCTAAACAGTTCACTAAAACGTTTTATAAAAATGTTTTATGACTCATTGATTAATGTGACTAGTAATAAACAATGTTAAAGCATCTCTTCTGTTTTTTTTTTGTTTTTTTTTTGAAATTTGCAAATGTATGTATACCCAAAGAAAGTAATTTTTATAATTATATCATTATATTAAGATGAAAAATTATATTTTTGTTAGTTGAATTGACATTTGTACATAGAATTTCTAGAATTTAATTGTATTCCCCCTCTATATAACTGCTGATTTCTGTTTGTGTTTTTCTAAATAAAAAAAAGTTTTAATATTTCACTGCCAAATCAAATAATTAGTCAAATAATAACCTTGCTATTAATCAAAAAACAAGACAGCATTTAAAATCACTTTAAAATTCACCCGGTTCATTCATTACCCTGGAAATAGAAGATGAAGTAAAATGCATTGCATTGTGGGACATATGGCACATTTGGAAAGCACTGAAGGACATTTAGGTATTACATTACATAACTGCTCAAAAGTTTGTTGTCGGTAGATTTTGATCAAAAACACAGTAAAAACAGTAATACTGTGACATATTCTTACACTTTAAAATAACTTTTTTTGCCCATTTCAAAATATTTTAAAATGTAATTTATTCCTGTGCAGCCATTACTCCAGTCTTTAGTGTCACATGGTCCTTCAGAAATCATTCTAATATGCTGATTGGGTGCTCAACAAACATTTCTTATTATTATTAAGATTAAAAACAGTTATGCTGATACATTTTGTTTTGTGGAAACAATGATCCTTAAAAATATTACTGAAAAATGAATTTTTGAATAAATAGTACACAAAATATATACCACAAAAAGTAGTGCCATTTTGAACATAGCCTCTTTCTCTGACCTGCATAGCTGCGTCCTGTGCTCATGCAGGTGGGCAGTAGAGTCCATTTATCAGTGTTTGGATTGTAGAACTCCACTGAAGCCAGGTTGCATGAGCCATCATCGCCACCGATCACATATAGCAGGTTATTTACGGCACACACACCTGAAACACAGATAAACTTGATTGAACCATCACAGCTAGAATTGTTTTTGTGTGCGTGTCAGCTGGCAGAGTGACACACTGTGCTGTTCAGCAAAGATCTGACCAACTCACCTGCGTTCCTTCGGCACATATTCATATCAGCCACCTGTTTCCATGTGTTAGTGGCAGGGTCATAAACCTCACAGCTCTTTCTAACCAAGGGGCCGTCGTGCCCCCCTACTGCATAGAGCAGACCTTTTAACACACCTACACCTGTCCAACACAAACATTTGTGGTTTACACAGACATATGTTGCCAGCATACATGAAGGTTTTGTGTGTGTGTGTGTGTGTGTTACCTGCACCACTGCGGCGGGTTCCCATCTCTACTGTATAAGACCATTCATTGGTGTTTGGGTTATAGGCCTCAACTGTACTCAAACACTGACGAGTTGCTCCGTCATACCCTCCGACTGCATAAAGCAGACCTAAAAAACAGAGTTTGACATTTTTTTATATCAGTTGAAATCCGCTGTTCGATAAACAAAAATGTTTGAAAAAATAAATATGCACTGCACAAAAACGTAAAATATATAAAAATGCATTTAAAAAAATATTAAGATAACTTTAACCAAAGCTAAAATTACCAAGCTAAAGTTCAGGTAATGTTTCATTATCAATCACAAATTAAAATGCAGTAAGAAAGTTATTTCCCTTAACCAGGAAATTAACGTTCTTAGAATTGACAGACAGTTGACCCTGAGAGGTCAAGTAAATATCTACAGCGGATCTAAATATTTATAATTAATTATAACTAGTTATGATTAATTATTCATATTTCCCCATGAGCTGATTCGCTACAGAAATCAAATCTGATTGGTACTCAAGAAACATTTCTTACTATTATCAATGTTAAAAACTGTTGCACTGTCTAATATTTTTGTGGAAACTGCGATACATGATTTTTCGTTAGGATTCTTTGTTGAATGAAGAGTTCAAAAGAACAGCGTTTATTAGATTTTTTTGACCCACTAACACTTGCACTCTATTCTATTTCTGTTCTATCTACTTGTTTTCTCTTTATTTATTAAAAACATTAACCTTTAATTACTAACACTCTCTATTCTATTTCTATTCTATCTACTCATTGTCTTTTTATTCATAAAAAAATACTAACACTAACATTCTCTATTTTTATATAAAAAATAAGAACTTTGCACTCTAACACTAGCACTTCTCTATTCTATTTCTATTCTATCTACTTTTTATTCTTTTTATTTATTATAAAAAACAAATAAACCTTGCTATGTGTATTGTGTTAGACTAACCGGGACTTGTCACAGCACTTACATTTTGTTGTCTTTTGTTGGTCTGATTGCTTCTATTGTCCTCATTTGTAAGTCGCTTTGGATAAAAGCGTCTGCTAAATGATTAAATGTAAATGTAAAAGCCTTTACTGTCACTTTTAATCAATGTAATGCAACCTTGCTGAATAAAATGGTTAATAATAATGATTTTTTATTATATAATTATCCATATTATTTTAATAGCTTTACAATGTTAGCACTAAGCAGCATCAAAACAAAATATGCAAATACACTAATATGGCAATATACTCGTTATTACGAAATTTGTGCAGTATATAATGGGGTCTGATAAGGTTGAAGACCCCTTGTTTAGGTCCTTTTTTAAACTCAGAATTCATCAATTTGAAATTTCAAACAAAAGCAGAACAGCCATGCATGTCTATTGGCTGTGGCTGTACATATACAGACGGCGATTGGCTTCTTGGCAGTCACTAACCTCCAACAACGCCAACTCCAACACTGCTACGTCGCGTGTTCATGGGACTGACGTGGAACCACTCATTGGCCTTAGCGTTATATGCCTCTACAGTAGCTAAACCTGCAAACCAACATCATCATAATGGTCACGGATGTAGGAACACAGTACATTCCAGTTTTCATTAGTATCTTCATAATAATGAGCATTATTGTTACCATAACCAACATAACAGCTATGCACTTCTCCACATAAACAGTATGCAAGATAATGCAAGATCAATTAATATATTACCTGTGCTGCCATCAAAGCCTCCAACAGCATAAAGCAGTGCGTTGAGGACAGCAGAGCCTAGAGTTGACCTCCGGTCCTGCATGCTGCTGACACAACACCACTCGTCTTTTACTGGGTCATATGCATCCACCGTCCTCACTCGTAATGACCCGTTAAAACCCCCGACAGCATACACAACACCACCCATATACACCACACCTACACATACGTAAAAGAAAAGAAAAATTGTGAACTAGCTTCAAGCATCCAATATTAAAAATCAAATAATACATTTTTTGTAACAGCTGTTGGGTAAATGAGTCAAGTACATTTTCATTGAGGCAAGTTGTCACATGCCTTTTAAATGTTATGCGGTTACATCATTTAATAATTACAAAAAATGGTTCATTAGTTATTTTGTATAAAATTTTGTCAGAATATACAGCACTGTTCAAAAAGATTTTTTTAAATGTTGTGTAATGTTTATTTGATCAAAAATAAAGTAAACTTTAAATTTACTTTAAATGTGCAATGTACATTTTTGTGTGCAATTAAAATAACTTAATTTCAAATTTATGTTAATATATTTAATTTATTCCTGCAATGGCAAAGCTGAATTTTCAGCATCATTACTCCAGTCTTCAGTGTCACATGATCCTTCAGAAATCGTTCAAATATTCTGATTTGGCGCTTTAGCAATATTTCGTCTTATTATCAATGTTGAACACACTTTATATTTTTGTGGAAACTGAAACTTTTTTTTTAAAATCAGGATTCTCTGATCAACAGAAAATTTGAAGAACAGCATTTATTTGAAACAGAAAACTTTCTAAATGTCTTTATATGTCACTTTTGTTCAATTTAATGCATTCTTGATGAATAAAAGTATTAACTGCTATTAAAAACTAATCAGTAACACTTTAGTATAGTGACCAATTCTCACTATTAACTAATCACTTATTAACAGGCCTATTATTAATACATTTGCTGTTTATTAGTACTTACAAAGCACATATTCTACATTCCTATTCCTGCCCAATACCTAAACTTAACAACTGCATTACTAACTATTAATAAGCAGCAAATTAGGAATTTGAGGCAAAAATTGTAGTTAATGGTTTGTTAATAGCAAGAATTGGACCTTAAAATAAAGTGTGACCAACTAATCTCTTAACTTGACCCCAAACTTTTGAATGGTAGTGTTGTCACCAAATGCTGTGCCCAATTAACAGTATCCTTTTTTCTGGGACAATAAGTAGTCAAGACTTACAGTATGTGCCTATACAAATATTGAAACCCAATAGTTCCCACCCCCCAATTCATGTTTTCTGTATAAAAATATTCATGCCACATAAAAAGTCTGTGGGGTATATATTCCACTTAAGCCACTTTTGTGATGTAAAGAAAATAAAGGTAAATATAAACTTGCAATTTAATTTTCTTGCGGTCACTTACATGTGCAGTCACTAAACATAATTTCCATCACCAGGGTAAATGAAACAGCGGCATGTTTTTAGCAGAATACACATCACAACAGATTCCTCAGCAAATAACATTCAACACACCCAAGAGTCTCCTCCCCATCATTATTTTCAGTACGTGTTCTAACATGTAGAGCTGTTGAATGTGAGACCAGGGTGAATCATTTTGCCAGTCATTGTCAATGATATGAGCGTGCAGCTCACCTGCTCGACATCGTCTGGAGGGTAATTCTGCCACTTGGAACCATCTCTCCTCCTCGAAATCATAGCACTCCACACTGCGGATGGCTTTAGGGGCCTGTCCCCCCACCACCATCATCACCTTTAGCACACATGAGAAAAGACTCCAATCAAAGCCATCTAGAACGCGGCTTCTCAAACTTTTTATCTAGTTTAAATTATTTTGTTAAAGTGGTTTAAAACATGTGCCAAGTTCTTAGAAACATACTCTATGATTTTTAAACTATAACATTTTTAGTAAAGGTTTAAATATAATAGCTGTACAAAATGTGTTCAACACGGATACGCTGTTTTCGTTCAGATCAAATCACAACAACGTAGGAAACAGATCCGGCGTGACGCAGCTGACACAGAACAGCATACGCTGTTTACGTCCAGCTGATACGCTCCAAAACGGCGCTACAGGGTGATGCGGAGGAGACGAATTGTTGAATAAAGTCGTTATTTGTTTTTTCTTTTGTGCACAAAAAGTATTCTCGTAGCTTCGTAAAATTACGGTTGAACCACTGATGTCACATGGATTATTTTACCGATCTCCTTGCTACGTCTCCGGACTTGGGAACATTTCAGTTGTATTGCAGTCTATGCAGGGTCAGACAGCTCTCAGATTCCATCAAAAATATCTTGAATTGTGTTCCGAAGATGAATGAAGGTCTTACGGGTTTGAAACGACATGAGGGTGAGTAATTAATGACAGAATTTTCATTTTTGGGTGAACTAACCCTTTAATTTTGTTAAAACCAAATATAATTTCAATCGCTTGGTTTAATAAAAAAATTATGACTAAAATGTCCACAAATCACATCAGAGACATGGACTAGAGATTTGCACCCATTGTAAGTTGAGCCAAGATGTTCAGATATGTGACAAGAGTTTGAATCCAGCTTGCATCATGTTCCCAATCTCCATCCACTGACTTCCTGCTCTTTACAGCTAATGAAAATGTCAAAAAAATAAAATAAAATCAATAATAATCAAGACTGTCCAGACAAACCTTTGGGTAGCTGATGGGTGTTCTCACTCTGGTGCGGATGGTCTTCATCGTGGAGCGCTGCTCGGCCGGCAGCAGGTGGTACTTCATGGCTTCAATTAGGTAGTCTTTACAGGCGCTGCTGTTCTTCACTAAAGTTTCCTCCTCCACCCTCTACACACACACACACATAAAATTCAATAAAAATGAAAGAACATCAAAGCAAATATTCACTAACGCATTACTCATGCACACACATATACCTGTACGAGGTATTCTCTGGAAAGAAGAGGCAAGCGAACATTTTCCATCAGATGAGCCATGTGTTCCTGACGCACATCTTTATCATGCGTGACCCAAGCTATGACCGCTTCAAACACCTATAAACACCCAGGGAAAGTTTAATACCTGTCTCATCTGTTATACCTGAGAATTAATCACAAATCATCAGCATGAAATACAGGTGTAAAAAGTTACAAAACATTTTGACATCTGATAACTGCAATCATAGATATGTATAGGTAGATGCCACATTTGACCGTCCCAAACACGTTGACGCATCCACCATCTTGGAACAGTCTATATGTCGTCATTCATGATAAAAATCAATGAGTTTCAAGACGCAACAACATTGTGCAGCATCTGGTTGTAAAAACTGCCTGAATTTAAATTCCTAAAGAAATTGGATAAACTTTCAAGGTAAGAATGTGTTGGTTTTTTTATATGTATTAACTCAATACGAAAGTACTAAAGTATTAGTACTTTTAAATGCTTTGTTAGTTAACGGCTTCGTCTTGTTGTATTGTGTAGTTTAGCAAAAGCATCTTCTGAAGTCGACTGAAGATATAGATATTCATACATGCATATAACTACAGTTGCAGTGCACATGCACCGGCAACTTGCTTTCAAGTGTTTACAGACATCCCAATATGGTGGACGGCTTACATACAGCAGACCACAGAAACAGCCTCTAATAGGGCATGTATTTATACATATCTATGACTGCAATAACCTACAAAGATAGTCAAAAATGCATGTTACCACATCGCATTAGTAGTAGTGTAGTGTGAACACTAATACATCGTGGACAACATCAAAGCACCGCCCACTCAGCTGTCAATCATTCCATTGCACAATAAAGAAAGTAAAAATAACTTCAAAAATCTTGTTTAAAGTGCCCCTATTATGCCATTTTTAAGGTTGCTAATATTGTTTGGCGGGCAAGTTGGCGACGTAGAACGTGGGCAGACATTATGCAAATGTGTTACTTCGTGACGTAGAGCCGTAACAGAATAAGATTCGAATTCCTGACTACTCATTTAGGCGATTGCGAGTCGACTCTTTTTTTTGATAGACAATACCTTTATTTATCGTGCACTGTTGGCTTCACAACTTTGCAGATAGTTTATGTTCACATACAGCTACATGACACACTGCATGAAAGGTAATATTCGAAAAGGCATAATAGGGGCACTTTATAACACATGCCAAATTTATAGAAACATACTCTTTGTGTCTGTTTTGTATGTTTGTATAATTTTACCATAACAATATAATGATTCTAAAAAGTAATAACCTATTTCCATCATATTAACATATGATGTTTTTTGGTTCAATTAGAATTATTTATATGCTATAATAATCGTTATTAATATTTTGAGTTAGCGTTTTTTTATATATTTAGATTTCCAGTTTTAGTTTTATGTTTTTATGTAAGTTATGTGATTGTCATTTTAATTAGTTTTTGTTTTTTAACATTTACTAATTCATTGTATTATTTAAAATACAGTTGCCACAAGGCAAGTTTCTCATCTTATATTTATATTTGATTTTAATTCAGCTTTATTTTAACAAAATTATAACAAACTTATAACAAAAAATGTTTGAAATAGTTTTGCAGGTAGGATTAGTTAATAATATTTTGAATTAGCATTTACTTTTATATTTATTTTTAAATTTTTTTAGTTTTAATTTGAGTAATTTTGATGATTTTTTGGTTAGTAAGTTGAGTGATTTTGTTATTTTAATTAGTTTTAGTTTTTTTAACAAGTGATTTTGTTTTGGGGGTGTACTAGAACAGGCTCTCATACTAGGTTGTTCAAAAAACACATTATTTTTCACATATTTTACATTATTACAACACCTCTCTCCCCAGTCTGGCATGAACAGCTCGAATAGTTCCTGTATCAAATGAAGGCCCGCCTTCTGAAATACGAAATGTGCTGTGATTGGTTAGCTGGGCCAGTGTGTTTTGTGATTGGCACTACCCGGCGCCTGGTCGGGAAATGTCATGCCCCTTACCATAGTCGCCTGCTGCGAGCTTCAGTGTAAATATTGCGTCAATATCAAATCAATTTGAGCGCGATTTAAACCCAGATGATTGTAACCACTCTAAGTTCGTCTGCTTTGGGAAAGCTAGCGTGTCTCCGACATAGTGATAACACTCGTTGCCTTCTCTAGTGCAGCTCAACCAAGTCTCGTCCCATTCGTCGATCTTTGTGATATCACAAATCCCGGAAAATATGCATTGTAGTCCAAACGAGTCGTTTGTTGTAGTTTTTGAAAAGTTTTTGCAGATATTTTTCATGCTCAAACAGCAACATTACAGACTAACTAAAGTTGAAAAAGTGAAAAAGCATAATAGGACCCCTTTAATTTACAGATTCATTGTATTTTTTTTTAAAATACAGTTGCCAAGGCAAGTTTTTCATCTTATATTTATATTTAATTTTAATTCAGCTTTATTTCAACAAAATGATAACAAACCTATAACAAAAAATGTTTTATTAAATAGTTTTAGGATTAGTTCATTATCGTAACACTTTGCCTTGTGATAACAAGGTCATTTATCAAGAGACTTATTGACCTTGACACATAGTCATTAGAGTTTGCAGGGCTCTTCTGTATGATATTATTTTCTGTTATACGCATCTTTTCTTCAGAAATAAGCATTCGGTCAAAATTGAAATGCATGTAGTCACAAAATTAAACGCATTCTCAAAATCTGAACAAAAGTGATCACAGGAGATGTTTCTGAGATGCGTGTCAATACCAGGTTTAAATAGCATTCTAGAGACGGATGTTAATACCAGGTGGAACAAGCCAGACGTAGAACTGAAATGAATTAATTAAAATACAAAAATATGATATCTTTAGAAGCTGGTGTTGCCATGGCAAAAATACAGCATGGTGCCTAGGGCTGAACGATTAATTGCACAAAAAATCGCAATTAGATTATTTTCCAAAATCGTTCAGCCCTAATGGTGCCCACGCCTTGCATCTTCCAACTCCTGTTTCCATGACGACCAACAAACTCTCATCAGCAGCTACAGCTATTCCCATAGTATTATTGTACCAGCAGTATGTTACCATGGCAACAGAGCTGCTGAAGTCTGCATGATAAAATCACCTGTGTGCTGCTATAGTTACAGCAATACAAGCCTCTCATCAAACGTGATGCTACCTTTTCTTCTGATGGAATGGTCAGTTTGTCGCTTGCTATGAGGCTGCACACTTGCTCCATGCCCAGATTGAGAAACTCTTCACTCTGCACGACCTCTGAGAAGTGTTGCTCTGTGAGTGTCGATGAGTGGGAGAGAGATTGAGGCTGTCAAACAGAGTTACTAACACATCCAATAAGGAACATAACTATTATGACTACCGTGTGCATGAACTTCTCAGTTCTTTCTTTTATGGATGGACACACACCTGCGTACGTGTTGGCGAGATTGAGCAGCTCTGTGCAGGCGTGCAAATCAGCGAAGGCGCGGATACCGAGGCAGTTGGTTGGGTGAAGTTGAGTTATGAGAAACTCGCAGCAGGCCTTTTTAACTTCCTGTAACTGCAGCAGACCAGCGGCGGGCAAGAGCACCTGAACACACACACACAAACAGAAAAGACCTCACACACGGCTTCATACGAGCCCTTTAAGAATTTTGTCTCCTGCATTTTTACTTGCCCTGACAAGAATTTTACACGCATTAAGGTCAATTTAAAAGGACACATGTACATATTTTCAAAATATATACTGTATGTGTGCGTACATATACATATACATATACATACATACATATATATACATACATATATATATATATATATATATATATATACACAGTGGTGTGAAAAAGTAAAACATTGTTATTGAATTGTGTATATATGCATGTATACATTGTTATTGAATTGTGTATATATATATATACAGTGGTGTGAAAAAGTGTTGGCCCCCTTCCTGATTTCTTATTTTTTTGCATGTTTGTCACACTTTAATGTTTCAGATCATCAAACAAATTTAAATATTAGTCAAAGATAACACAAGTAAACACTATATATATATATATACACACAATTCAATAACAATGTATACATACATATATACACAATTCAATAACAATGTTTTACTCATAAATATGTCACATTACGTAAGTGCAAATGTCGTTTCTTGACGCATAAACCCAGGATGCCCTGTGAACCTATATTGGACATGGGGTGGGCGATATGAGCAAAATCTTATATCCCGATATGAGTAACTTTATTTCACGGTAACGATATATATCACAATAGTTATTTTTGCTTTAAATAAGGTCTTTAGGATATCAAAATTTTAGATACCATAAAAAAATTCATAATTCTTGTCACCAGTGTCAATATCACAAAAAACTAATACTAGCCCAAATAAAAAATAAATAAATAAATAAATAAACAGCTAGCGATTAAATAAGAATAAGAAACAAATTACAAGCAATAGGACAAAAAATACAGTAGAACAAATAAGAAATGCTACATACATTGTATAAAGTGATCAAATGTATAAAAACACTGCACATTCTTCACTGTGTAAATTAAATATATATTTCTTCTTATTAAAGTTACAAAAGTGCTTTAGTCTAGAGCAGTGAGAGATTTTCTCTCTTTTGTTGTTTGACTAACATGAATGAACGACAGCAGGAATATTAGACTGCTGTCACTTTAAGAGCTGCCTGGATCCAATATACTGTTACACATGTTTTCTTTCTCAGCTGTTTGCTTTCACTTAAGAACTTACTGTTAACATGAATGAACGACAGCAGGAATATTAGACTGCTGTCACTTTAAGAGCTGCCTGGATCCAATATACTGTTACACGTTTTCTTTCTCAGCTGTTTGCTTTCACTTAAGACCTAAATTACTGTGCATACTTGCAAAGTTGGGCATTTTGACATATACAAGTGTGTCTTATACCGTTCAAGCCCTATAAAGCGACAAAAATAGCTCTATGAGCACCGTCTTCACGTGCGCGCACCTCTCTGACAGCGTTCAGAAACAGTCTCAGACAATGCGTGCATATAGCGAAATGAGTTCTCTTTCGCTGCTGATTGCGTTTCAAACAATTAATCATGATTAATCACATCCAAAATTAAAGTTTTTGTTTACATAGTATGTGTGTGCATTGTGTATATTTATTATGTACACATACATACACACCTATGCATGTATATATTAATGAAAAATATGTTACATTTATATTTTAAATATATTTATATATAATATGAATTATATGAATATAAATATATGCAAAATATTTATATGTAAATATTTTCAAAATATATACTGTACAGTATGTGTGCATATTTATATATACATAATAAATATACACAGTACACACATATATTATGTAAACAAAAACTTTTATTTTGGATGTGATTAATCGTTTGACAGCACTAGTTTCAACGGCTTAAAACCACTTGTTTTTAAACTGCAATGCTTAAAAACGCGTGCAAATTGTAAGTTTTCATGACCACGTACCACAGCAACGTCACGTGAGTGTGTAACCGTGATAGAGACAGTGCTCAGACTGATCTGAGATTTGCCCCGCAAACATTTCAGCAGTAAATTATAGGCCAGTGTGTCCCGTATTTCTGTCGACTGAACCCATGCCGTTAATTGTGAATTTATCAGAATTCGTTGAGTTTCGGTTCATCATTGTGAAGCCTCCTGTTCAAGATGTTCAACGCATCCTCTGTTTTCCTATTTATTTTATAAAAGCACAACGTTTCCTAAATATTTTTCTCCTTTTTTGGAAAGTCGTGGAAATGACATATAGCAAATAAAACAAGACTATTGATTCTGTGTTATATTTTTATTTACGGGTGGGACGTGTGTCCCCACGACCCCCCGCCACTTTTTGCGACATCTCGCGGCACGCACGGATGTACCTAAAGAAACATCTCCATTTGATAACAAATCCGTTGGTCTGTGTTAAAAAACAGGCGATCTATCGCTGGGATGTGTTACAGCGAGCACTCGTTGCTGCTGTTATCAGTTCTCTCTTGGCACTCATGCACAATGCGCAGTCTTCACACAGACGATCGTACGCTTTGTTCTGTTAAAAGCACAAAACAAAATGCACACAAACATGTCCTTGCTCTTGATATACAATCACTGATGAACACCTTTGGTTTTAATGAGAGGGGAAAAAAAACTACACGAGGGTGGATTAGAACCCAAACCCTCGGAAATGCTTGACAAAAGTTCTACCACTAGACCACTAAAGCACACACATATGATTAATGCAAATTTATATATTTATTCAATTCTGTGAAGAATCTCGGTACTAATTGTATTTTATTATTAATACGTTTATTATTAATTTATATTAATATAGTCGCTTGCAATGTGGGCAGGGCCCGCGTGCGCTGTGGGCCCCCCCCGCGCGGCACGGGCCCCAGTGCGGCTACACTGCCTGCACTGTCTGTAGATACGCCACTGGAGACGAAGGTCCAAAATTTCTGCCAGTTGACAAATTTCTACCGGTTAATCGTGTCTGCCGGTATATCGCCCACCCCTAACTGGACATGTGAAATGGATGTCTTTGGATTATGTCTCACGCCACTAAATGTTGCATTAAGTTAAAATTAAGCCAAGTTGCACCTTATCTGGGCTGTTTTTTAAAGCAAGAAAGTGTCCCATATGTACACCACTCACTCTTTGTCCCTCTATTTATAATATGAGAGAAGCTTAATGCACATGCAAACTGAATTGACAGCATTAATGATGGACCTAGCAGGTTATGGTACCATCAGGGTCATTCTTATTGTTAAGCCTTGCAGCAAAGTTTGGATTCGAGTTCCTCCCTTAAAAATTCGGCCTCATTTTAACACCCTCTGTCTAGTCAACTGTGCAGACACAGACACATAAGCTACTGACACCCACCCACACAACACACACACACACATCCTGGATGTGATTTTCTGTCCTCTCAGAGTAATACCAAAGAACACAACATAAAAAGAATACAAAATCAGTCAACTGAGTTTTAAGGTCATATTTTTATAGCGTGCAAAAAAACAAATGTGGCGCTTCAGTCACCCACACACACACACACACAGTTACCTGCACATTCTCCTCTGTTACTTGGATCTCAGCAGTGTAAACATAGTCGATCAGTATTCCCAGAGTCCAGCCGTCAATCTCTTTGATTCGAACCTTCTTCTGACGGCTCTCAGTCATCTCTCCTACAATCACAAATATTCACAAAATATTCCTTTTGAATGTTTTTTTTTTTTGCTTAATACTATATATATATATATATATATATAACATAATTTATGTATATATATATTTTATAAAAATGCAATATACTGGTGGTGTTGTGTTAGTGGCTCCTAAACATTATAATTTCCATTCACAGTATGAAAATTTTATTTATCAGCCTCAGAGGATAACATTGGGAAGAGTACAAAACCTGAGTGACTTCAATTTATCATACTGAGATCTTATTTGACTTCTAATGTTTTATGCAATTACACACTCAAACATAAGATACGCATGCGTATAAGGCATTTTTTTTATTCCCAGACTATAACTATAGCCCAGCAGCAGATGGACTGCCCTAATGTGACCCTCCACTGTTGTGAATGTGTGTGAGTGTGTTCTCACCTGTAAACATAGCGTGGAAGTACGGACACCCTGCAGCTAAGACGACTCGATGAGCAGCTATCTCCACATCCTCCGCAATGATGGTGACATCACACAACACACTCTGACTGCAGAGAGGGGAAAGATTTCATACATGCACACTGATCAGTTCTTACACACAGTGGCCACAAAAAACTATTTGGACAAAATGTCTGTATGACACTGCATTAGACACTACAAACGTCAAACGTAGCAGCATCTGCAAATACAGGAAGACCACAGAACTAACCTTTTTCTGAGCGATTTTGCAATGATTTTTAAGCAGCCGGTGTTAAGGTGATTTTAGTGGATTTTTCGTAAATTATGTATCATAACATAAGATATGCATGTAAGGCATTTTTTTTATTCCTAGATTCCAGCGGCTCTAGCCCTAATCTTGTCCTAATGTGACCTTCCACTGGTTTGTCTTTATTTTGACCCATATACCTTCTAAAAACAGAAATACTATAAAATATTAATACAATTTAAAATAACTGTTCAACATTTTAATATATTAATAAATCATAATAATAAAATGTAATTTATTCCTGTGACTGCAAATCTGAATTTTCAGCAGCCATTACTCCAGTGTCACATGATCTTCCAGAAATCAGTCTAATATGCTGATGATTTGGTGCTCAAGAGACATTTCTTATTATTATCAATGCTGAAGACAATTGCGCTGCTTAATATTTTTGTGGAAACTGATACATTTGTTCAGGATTCTTTGATAAATAGAGCATCCAAAAAAACAGAATATTTGAAATAAATATCTTTTATCACTTTTGATCAACTTAATGCAATCTTGTTGAATAAAAGTATTAATTTATTTCTTCAAACGGAAAAAAAAAATCTTAAAAAATTACAAACAGTTACGTATATTGTAAATAAATGCCATGAGTGCTTTGATAATTTTCTATAAAATGCAAGGTCTTTTATCCATTTTTAAATGTGGTTAAAGCATCCAAATACTTTCTGTGGCAACTGAATTATTATAACTAAATGACTATTTTAATACACATAACAGCAAAGAGCATGTTACCCAAAATTAAAATGTTGTCTTTGTTTACTCATCCTCATGTCATTTCAAAATTCTGTGACTTTCTTTTTTTCTGTAGATCACCAAACGGCGTATTCGACAGAATAGTTAACCTCAGTCATCACTCACTTTCATTGCATCATTTTTTTTTTTTAATACAATAAAAGTGAATACTGGCAGAGTGAGGCTGTCATTCTGCAAACATCTTCTGTGTTCCACAAATAAACATAATGACAGAAATTTCATTTTAGGTTAAATAACCATGTAATCGCAGACACATTAAAACAGTATACTTAAAGTTATTAAGAGGTACTGCATGATTTCCACCAGTATCTCACACACACCGACACACACCTGCGGAGCTCATTCATGATCCTGAAAGCTTTCCTCATGTGACGTGGATTGATGGTGACCGCACTCTGTTTCTCACACACATCATCCTTCAGCTCCACAGCTTTATGATGGCAAAGCTTAGTGCATCTGAAACACACACACACACACACAGTGGTACATCATCACACACCGTAGTACCATTACACAAGAAGTGACCATATGGCAGTTGTCAAATCTGACATCAGTTCCTAAACATGTGACATAAAGAGTGTTGGAGGTGTGTGGACAAAGACAGAGAGATGTCATGTGAACTTATGGCTGAACAGATTTACTCTATATTGACATTACAGTAGTGTGAACACAAGCATGTCTCTCTCTCTCACAAACACACACACATAGCTCTTACAGTGGATGAATCTCCATAGCGCTGGTTCCGTTCACATCAGTCTGTGTCTCTCCATCTCTGGTCGGGCTCTGTTGTTTAAATCCCCGCTGTGTCCCGTCCACCGAACCGAGCCGAACCGGGCTGGACTGGGTCCTGGTGTGCGGGTCCAGCTCCGCTAATGAAAATAAAAGATAAAAGCGGCCTCACAATCGGTGTCAGTGTGACTGACGTGACCGGATACTGTGCGGCAGACAGGTCCGTTGTGTGGGTGAGGACAGGACACATCCAGAGACCCAAACGCTACAGCTCACACACAAAAACAAGAGTGAAGGAAAGACTGACACACTCCTTCGGCGACAAACAAAAACACCAGCGGCCCCACAGCGACCGCTACTGCTGGAAGACCTTACGACAGACTACTGAGAGACGGTCATGTGTGTTTGGTTATATTTTTGAGACAATAAATAACTGTTTTGAGTCAAAGTGTATCTTAAAGAGGACGTTCTGTTTCTAATTATTATTTCATACGGTTAATTATCATTATACATTGGGGTCGGTAAGATTTGTATAATGGTTTTGAAAGAAATCTATTATGCCCAGCAAAGCTACATTTCATAATAATAATAATAAATACAGTAATATTATAACACATTAAAATATTTTTTTCATTATTCTAATGCATTTTAAAATGTAATGAATTTTCAGCAGCCATTACCCCTGTCTTCTATGTTTTCCTTCAGAAATCATTGTAATATGCCGATTTGGTCCTCAAGAAATATTTCTCATTATTATCAGTTGAAAACATTTGTGCTTCTTAATAGTTTTGTAGAAACTGCAATACATTTTTTTCAGGATTTTCTGATATATATATATATATATAAAGTACAAAAGTACAGCTTTTATTTGAAATAGAAATCTTTTGTAACATTACAAAAATACTTTGTCATACCAATTTCTTAAAAAAAAAATTACTGACCCCTATATAATATTGTAATAGTAGTTATTCATTAAAAAATTATTTACTTTAGCTTATGATAGGGTGTCACATACATAGTGATGTCACATTTTATGACATCACCAATTATAGGCTATTCAATTTCAATTACCAGGCATAACATTTCCCCAATAACTGACAGGAATCAAAAGAAATAGGTGTCCTACATACATGACGCAACATATACTCTGTAAAATGCAGAGAAGAATCTGATCGCAGACACTTGTTAGCCAATCAGAAAACATGGAGGCCAATGGCGTGAGTGTTGGGCAAGTTACCTATTTGCCAGAATAATGTCAAAGATCTGCCTTTTTCATCTTTAAGATACTTTGTATACAACATTAAAGCATCAAAAGTAACAAAGTTGGAGATGAGACATTAGATTTCATTGCTACAGTGTTTATTTTTCCTCAGTCATTTGTAGCTGAATTGTCCAATAAACAGAATAAGTCTCTAAAAGTTTTAACAAAATATAACCAATATTTACAATAGTTGTATTAAAAATACAAAAGTAGTTACAGACTTTGCCAGCTGTCTTTGTAAAAGACGTAGAAATACATGTGATTCTTATAGATTTGGCTGGGTAGAAACACAAGCGATACATTTGAACTATCACAAACTCATGACATTCTAAGTAAAATATAATGTTGTAACCATTTACTGACCATATTATGACCACCTATCATCTATGTAACAACTATAATTTATATATTCTTGACCACAATCTCTTGCTTCTGAAAATCTGTGCAACAATTCATGATTTGTGCCATTAACTCGGATAGTCGGAAACAATGGTACTGACAGATAAAATTAAATAAAAATACAAAACATAAAATATTTTCAAACAGAAACGTGAGAAACATTTGGAAAGTTTTTGGGAACATGATCAGATGAGAAAAGGCATGTTTAAATGGTCATATACTCATGAGTAACATAAAAACACTGATATCAGCACAGAGAAGATGTCTGAGACTACTGAGGTTTGTGAGAGGCAGCTGCTCGGTCTTTTCTTTCTGTCTTCAAGTGTCCGAAGAGAACTACGTCTCCCTCTGTGATTGATTTCAACACTCCCTCTCACAAGCACAACACACACATACAGTGTCTTTAACACGTGACATACTAAAGTAACATTGCATATTAAAACTTCTAATGATATAATACTGTTTCTATGGTCTTGTAACACTGATCTTGCATCATGTGCAACACCTCTCATCATGCTATAATTAAAATGAGACCGTGTGACTTCCGTCTTGTCTTTGTTTTGCAGAACTTATGTTAAAAGTGCCAACATTTTATCTGCTCCTGTCCTCTTTCACAGTGATCTCCATGAAGGTCCGAAATGATGGGCTGTAGTTCAGTAAATCGGCCACGATTCCATATCAACTGTCATATGAATGTTGTCCAACTTAGGGAAAGAGATACGAAGAGTCTGATTAAACTGCAGATATTTGCTCGTTTTCTGTAAAGAAAAGAGACAAAATAAGACCTTAACTTATTATTTCCAAACAATTAAAAAAAGTAAAAATACTAAAATATTATATTATTGTGAAACAAACTATGAAAAACATTTTCATTATTTGAAATAAAATAAACAATTATCTGAGGGAAAAAAAATCATAAATAAATAAATAAAAACATACAAAAATATATAGACACACATAAAAAAAACTATTGAAATGACAAAGAAAATTACAAAACTAAAATGGAAAATATAAAAAAAATAGATTAAAAATATGAATAAAAACTATAATAGTTTCTCAGTGATGCTAAAATAACACTGCTCACGAACAATACAGATTATTTTCATATTTCATTTTACAATTAGCAATGTGCAGAATTGCTTTTTATTTGTTTTTTTTTCTGTTCATCACAAACTACAGCAATAAACTCAAAATATGAATCAGACATAAACTGTGTAATTGTTAATCTGCATATTTCTTTCTTGGCTGTTATTTAATAAGTTGAATGACTATCAAACAATGAATTAAACAAAGGTAAGAATACTGGTAAAAGTATCAATGTAACTGATATTATATCTCTAGCAGATTTGAACAATTTTAAACATTCATTTCTTTTTTCTTTTATTGGACTGGATAAATTTTTTACTTCATAATCAAATACCCACCATCCGGTTGTGGTCGTCGTGGTGACTGGCAGTAGTTGTATGCTGGCAATCTACTGGATGGGTGAAGTGGAGGAGGATCACATGACCTTTTAAGGAATCGAGACCTCTGCAGAGCCGCTTTGTAGTCAGGTGGGCGTCGCCCATGCGCATGACTGTGGCTGTCTGCCTCAGCCAATGACAGAGCAGTATAACCAGGCGGTGTGGGTGGCGGCTCTCTAAAACGTCCCTCCCTCCGACTCGCAGTATTCTTGTTTATGTTTGGAGTTTCGTCTTTTCCACCTCTACGTTTTATCGTTCCTGTGTCTCCTTCCAATTCATCAGCCCAGTAACCGGTAGGTGTGGTCACGTGACTACGTCCCATCCCTTCTGACAGCGTCTCCCAGCTGCGGTTGTCATAATAACCCACACGCTGTGGAATACTCTGGATGTTATCATGGGAACCACTGGAGCAGGACGTCCAGCTGCCACGGCCACTGTCTGCTGCGTCCAATGACGCACGGTCACACTGATCCTGAGTCAAGGAGTAGGATCTGAGAGAAAGAAATATAGAGAGACTTTAAAAATAAGGTACTAGACCAATTGTATTGACTGATCGACAACTTTTTAGGTACTTGTATGCATATATGTATATAAAACCTCTTACCCCAAGCTTATTTGGTCAGGTTCAGCTCTGCGTGTGCTGAGTGGGTGTGTAATCGTATGGGCTTGAGCATGCGTGTGGTCATCAACCATGATGAGATCAGAGGAGGAGGAGCTTAACAAACTCAGCTGATCTGATGCGTCACTCACCACTAACTGTGGGGCTATAAAAGAAAGCATAAATACCCAAACAATTAAATACATCCGAGAATATATTACTCTTTAGAAATGTGAATCCATTTTGAATTGATTCGCAATTAACTGGTTTTCAATTTTAAAAAATCCCATTCAAAACATTTGAACAGGTATTAATTTCTTACACTGATTCATTAAAATATGCATTTCTTTAACAATAACTTGTTAAATAATGCAACATTCAGTGTGATACGATAATCAAGTAAATCAATTAAAATGAAAATTATATAACCAATTCCAAACAGAATTTCCAATAATTTCATGTAATCTTGATCAGCGCATACTGTTTTTTTAAAGCTTTAATTTTTTGTATTTTTAATTCTGAAAGCCATAACTTATCACATATTTTATATGCCAAGTTAACAAAAACCTAATAGATTTTATAGCATTTTACTATAATGCAGTTACTTTAAAACAGTCAACAGAAAAACATCAACAGCAATCGCTGCATCAAAAACTCATTAATTAACTGCATGTACTTTCTATATGGTTAGGATTACTTGCATGTAATTATGCATAATTTATTGTTATTATAACAGTAAGTACATGTAACGTGTAACAAGGACACCTTAAAATGAAGTGTTACCTTATTGTGCAGCATGTGCACTACACTGTACTTAAGAAATTACTGGGTAACATAAGGGAAATACTTAAGACTTAAAATGGTTCAAGGTTATGTTCAGCTTTAGTACCTAGTTATTATATGAAATACATAAAAAACATGTAGAACAGAACACTGCAAAATATAGGGCAAACCAATATTCTTAAACTGATTCAATACATACCTTTTCTTGGTGTGCTGTGAGGTGAGGTATGCGTAGAGGAGAGTAGAGATGAATCATTTGACTGGCTGTCCTCAGGCAGCTTTCGTTGTCTGTCCCGGCCCTCTTCTGAGAGAGACAAAATCTTATGAAGAGACTGAGGAGACTGGGCACCTACAGACACAAAAACCTCATCTCACTGCAAACAAGACTTACAAGTCACCAGCAGAGGACGCTCGAATGACACCAGAATTCAGATCATTTGTTGAAGTAAAACAAGAGAAAGCTCTTACCAAATGGTGGTAGCTCTTTGCCAAGTGATTTCTTGCGACCATGATTTCCATTAGTCTGCTGTGGAGTGGAGCTTCTTTGACTGACAGGAGATGCATCCACTCGTCTCCTCTCACCTGAGTTCTTCAGAACTGAAATAACAAGCACACACATACATTTTTTTTACTATGCAATTTTATCACATTTTACATTAAATTACTTATTTATAATACATATATTTTAATTTATAACTTAAAACATAGCAACAACAACAACAATAATAATTACAACAACATGCATTATTCTAAGATGACAATTGAGAACATAAAAGAAGACAACTAACTTTTGATCATCAATTCATTTTTA